CCCTGATTTAACATCTCACCCAAAACTTAGCACTTTTGAAAGTTCAGTGCTCTGTCAGCACAACCCTGGGGTGTCAGTTTTGATTTTTGTGCAAGCTACTGGATGGAGTCTTTAGAGATCACTGATCTCAAATATTATGGATCTCTATTTCTCTTGCCACTGATGTCACATGATCCAGAATGTTTCCAGCATTTCCTGTTTTTTATCAATATCAGGTTTGCACGCACAACACAAGTTATCAGTGAAATAGTCCACAGGTTTAGCCTGAAGGATTTTAATAAATTCTGTTGTACAGTTGCCCACAAACATTCTTTTAAACTTCCACACAACGGACCTTACTTAACAGTTTCTACGTAACAATGAACTTGAAACGTTCAGTTACCAAATGATGCAGGGACATAACCTTTGAAATTATTAACTGTTGAAGTTGTGATGCACATCAATTTGAAAAACAGTACAGAGCCGTGCCATTGGTTACCTGCCTCAGCATTACATAAATATTTTGCATCATGTCAGTAACGATACAACCATTACAGAAAAAGTCAAACATGAGAAATTCCACCTTTTCAAAAACGCCTGTACGCATTTAAGACAAATAACTTTGAACAAAGAATTATAAAGAGTACACTTTGGCTCAGAACAGTTCAAAGCTCTCTCAATTCAAAGTCACTAATTCATGTTGTTACGACAGGGAATGGCCGAACCCCTCTGATAATGAAACTAAAACACAATCCCCGATCTGTTAGGGCAGGAGTAGGGGTTCCCGTCTAATAATTACCCCGCTAAACACACAGAGAAGCTTGCCTTTCCTCTAGTAATCTATTAAAAGAGTGGTTAAAAGAAAGAAAACCCCTGATCTCCATCTTACAAGTAACGAGAAACAATTTATTTATTTAAGCCAACAATGAACAAATGAACAAAATTACTAACAAACTGACAATTCCCCCCTAGACTACTAACTACTCCCTAACTGGTCTAAATTCTACTGGAATGCTGTTTTAATAAGGACAAGTCCCACTCTTATAAAAATCCAATTAATAATAAGTAATAAATTATAGCTTAACCTCTCCAAGTTGGCACAGACTGTCTTCTGCAATATTCTGTCGTCCCCGCTCTCTTCACAAACGGCCTTTCTTCCGTTAATTCTGCTGTCAGGAAGGTTTTATCTCTATAATTTCTTCAATGAGGACTTTGAGCTAAAATACCGTGGTACCTTTGATTAATTAGATGGGCTTTCTTTGAGAGTTGAATGTTGCTAACTCTGGCAGGTGGCAGTTGTCTCTCTTTCAGATGGCAATTGGCTCTCTCTGCTTTTCCAAATGATGCGCTTGACTTTTATACCCATAATAACATGATCAAATTCTTGTAATATGATTGGTTTCAGGTTGTCAACACCATCAAATGTAAATTCAATTGGCTTTCTGTATCTAGGTGCTTCATTTAAATTAATTGACCAAATTCAAACTCGTTTTCACAACATCAAAACAAGACTGCTGTTTTGCCTGCCACCTGTAAGGTATTTTTTTGATACACTTGTTTCACATTTTGAGGTTCTCTGTACTGGCAACTTCAGTTGCTGCTCACAGAAATATAAAATTTGAAAAAAACACAAATCTCTTAAAGGAGCCACACATTTTAGCTTCCTGCCCTCCACTTCAAAATTACTCTACCCAACCTGGTAACAACTTTTATGCAGCAAATTTCCATTGAGTTATGTAGGCCAATCGAATTGAAGATTAATCAGTTGGTCAAGTGAAAGAAAATGATTGAATTAATGATGGACTAGGCTGAACTGCTTTGATAATCTGTCCCACTTTCTTCACAAGTACCCTTATTGGGAAACCTAGTTCCAAAATGTTAGGATGCGGATTTTACTAAACACTTTTACAACGCAGATTTCGTTTCTTGGTCTCTAAATGGATATCAATGTATTTTGAAGCAGGTTCCTTCAATAAACCACAAGTTGGTTGGATTTTGCCTGGTGTTAGAAAATTTGGCAACCTCATTTCGCATTTAATTTTATAATTTTTTATACTTTATTTTTGAGCATTCATGGATGAATGGCTTCATTTGGATTGAAAAGATTACAGATAAATTAAATAACTATACTGCTACTATGTTAGGATTTAAAGACTTTACAATGCAATAAAAAAGGAATAAGGAAGGTAAAGAGTTTGAAGGTTGAGGTTTAGGTAACAAAAATATGAAATTCTCTTCCACAAAAGGCTGTGTGTGTGGATCAATTGAAATATGGATTTGTATTGGATAGAAATATTGTGCAGGGATACGGGAAAAAGGCAGGAGATTGGCACTGGGTAATGACTGCCATTAGATCTGGCATAGGCATGATGGGACAAATGGTCTCCTTCTAGCCATAATAATTCTTGATTCAGTAGGCAACATGTATGGATAGATTGTGAAATGTTGCAATGACTCATTTCATAGTTTATAGAAAACAGAAATTACCGCTATCATAAAACTGATTAGTTGCAAAGTAAGTAGTATGCTCAGTTGTTCTCATTTCCATTATTTATATAACATGCAATTTAAGAGAATGGAAAAGCATCCCAATGTTATTTTCTTCCTTTGCTATATAGCAGTTCAAATTTATCCAAATGCAACACAACCTAAATTTGTTAACAGACCCAAGCCAGATATGACTCGTGAGGTACACAGTGTTAGCCGCTGGAACAGAGAGGTCTGATAGTATGGTATTAATATGTCTTGGGTCTCCTTCAATGAATAAGAAACCCTGATGCAGCTCATCTGTCAGACCCTTCATGAATGTTGGTCCTTGTGGGAGCCCAATTTGATGGAGTAGAGAGTTACAGTGAGGTGGGGCAGGCATAGGTCAGAAACTGCCCAGTTCTTTTGTGGAACTAGAAGAACTCCTGCTGCTTTTGGCTACACAAAAGACCACTTTGGAAGTGTGGGAGACTTCTTTTATGAGTAGTATCCAGTGGTTGGGCTGGAAATGTCAGATCAAGCTTGCGCATTACACGTTTTGACTCAGTTAAACAAATTCTGGGGTCCAGGTTTACAAACAGTGCAGAAGCCATTCAGACTAATATTTCTATGCCGGCTGAAAAACAGCCATTGAGCCAAATCCCACTTGGTCCATTACCCTGGAGATTATAGCACTTGGAGTGTACATCCAAGTACTTTTGATATATAATAAAGCCTTCTCTCTCTCCACCCTTTCAGACAGCGAGTTTCAGCAACCATCTCCCTTTGGTAGCAAAACAAGATCTTAACTCCCCACCGATTATTTTAAATCAATGTCCCTCTTAATGACTTTCCTCTCTGGTAATGGAAATATATTCTCCCTATTCAATCATCATAATTTTATTCACCTCAATTAAATCTTCCATCAAACCTCAACACTCCAAGTAAAACAACTCCATCCCATCCGATCTATCCTCAAAGTAACATCCTTGTATATATCTTCCCTTTATAATCTTCAATTATGACCACATCCTTCCTGTGATGCAGTGACCAAAACTGTTTGATTGTACTCTAGCTGTAGTCTAACCAGTGTTTTCTACAGTACTAGCACAACCTCCCTATTGGCAGTCAGGTCACAAATGGCTCCTAAGTTTGTCAATTTTTATGACAGAAGGCTATTTGGCCTTTAACTATTTATAATATCATAAACAGACTGCCTCACCACAGCACATCCACTCATATCCCCAACTCATTCCTACAATTTGTGCTTAGCCATATCTTTTTGATACTGGCAAGTTGCACACAGTTCAGGAATACAACGCACTCACTGTTAAAAATGGAACAACAGATTCAAGTCAGAATTCATTGCTTTTTAGCATATTTAATGACCCTACATCACCATAGGGATTTACTATTTACCACCGAATACACCCTGATAAATGCTGCAAGTTCAAATCCTTAACAGTCGTGTGAATGCATCTACTACCTTTCCAACCACCTACACCTCCTAACGCAACAGACTACGCAGCACTAGGAAGCTTGCCAAGGCCAATTAGAGATAGTCAATAAATGTTGACCTAGCCCAGCAGCACTACATCCCGTGAATTACTAAAAAAATGATCTTGATTTTCTGACATGCCTACATTTTTGTGGATTGAACTTGCTCCTGCATCTGTTTTCCTTCTGTCCCTGTAAATTAAAATTCTGCCAACTTTGACTTATCAAAGCTCACTTTATAAAACAACTTGAAAGTAAATAAGATTTTCATAGAATCTTAATACTGGATAGTAAAATAGCAATTTCACAACCCACCTTTAGTTTCTAGACTCACCTTTATCAGTGAAACCAATTGACAATTTAGTTTAAAGAAATAACCAGACTTAAATTGCAGTCCACAAGGACAGATCTTAGCATGGTGAATTTTAAGAACAGTCCATATTCGACAAGGCAAAAATACAAAGTAGGCAATTTGCTACCTTTAGGTTAGGATTTTGCACTGTTGCCAAGACCACACATATATGACCTCTTGACATCTGCAGCATACTAGCTACAGGCCCATACATTGCTCACAACACAATCCATGCCAAAAGCAGGAGGCAAAATCCTCCCATTGCAACAAGCAAATTACCCACACGCTTAACTTCACCATGCTGCAATACAAGATCTGGGGCTTCCCTGCAGGTTCATACTCTTGACAAAGGTACCATCTGCATCCATACATAGCACTGTGTCCAAGGGAATGTTCCTCACTATAAATGTTGCATGACTGATTTCTGAGCATTTCTTAAGGTGGGTTTTTCTCTTTTAAAAACAATCAGATATTTGTATTTTGTTTTATCCTTTCATGCAATGCCAGAGTCGCTAGCATTTTTTGCCTATAACTAATTGTCTTTGAGGGAGACAAGGACTGTGTCCATGTTCCACCCTGAACACAGTATCTCTACTCTGGATGGAAGTAAATCCTTTCCAGCATTCTACAACTGAACAGATTTCAATCACAAGTTTTCAGAATGCGAACAGACTGCAGAAACAGAAGCACTCTCTTGAGATTCGAGATGGGTAATAGCAAATTAGATAGAACTAATGAAATCATGAATGATTTTATTAAGGTAAATAAAAAGGTACTGTTTCCGGCGACAGAATGATTGATTACTAGCAATCGCAGATTCATGGCAAAAGCACTAGATGTTATATGAGAGAATATTTTCATAAAATCACAGAATCCCTACAGTGCAGAAAGAGGCCATTTGGTCCATCAAGTCTGCACCAACCCTGCAAAGCGCATCCCATCAAAACGCACCCCATCTCCATAACCCCACATTAACCATGTCTATTCCAACTAGCCTGCACAGCCTTGGACAGTACGGGACAATTTAGCATGGCCAATCCAACTCACTTGCACATCTTTTGTCTGTGCGAGAAAACCGGAACACCCAGTGGAAACCCACACAGACACAGGGAGAATGTGCAAACTCCACACATACAGTCACCCAAGGGTGGAATCAAACCAGGACCTGGCGCTGTGATGCAGCAGTGCTAATCACTGTGTTACCGCGCTGCCCCTTTTCTCAGCAAGTTATTGTGATCTGGAATGCACTGCCCGAATGGGTTGTGGAAACATTTGTTTTTAAACCATTTATGGCATGTGGATGTTATTGTCTGGGTCAGCATTTATTGTCCATCCTAATATATTCAATGGTAACGTGCACAAGAAAATTCAATAAAGGTATAAGTTAATAGTATCGTTAAGACGGCCTACCCTCTATTTTTGAGAATATGAGTTTTAAAACTTCAAAATGATTTAGACGGTTGCAAGTTTGGCTGGAGAAAAACCAAACTAAATAAAAGTGCAAAGCCACCTTATGAAGGTGGTGACAGAACCAATTATTTGCTCTTGAAGGCAAGAATGCAAAATGAAGGACTCCTTACAATCCATACCCATTTAACCCTATTACAGCCTAAAGAAGACATGAACAAATGTGAAGTACTGGACAATCACACCATTGTTATCACAGACAGATCCACCCAAAAGAACTGGAACCAGTATTTTAAAGAATGTTCTGAGAATTTTGGCAGATTGCTGAAAGTGAAACTACTGTCTCCACTTCACTTTCTAAAGAAACTGGCACCCTGTTCCCACAGAAACTATTCCAATTTTTTTTTTATTGAATTCACATTTCACCATTTGCCATGGTGTGATACAAACCCATGTCCCCAGAACATTAGCCTCGGGTTCTGGTTAGTAGTCCAGTGATATTACCACTATGCCACTGCCTCCTGATATATTCAATGGTAACATGCACAAGAAAAGTGAATAATAGGGAACAATAAATTTTAAAAATAAAACTGAACTCAAAACGTTAGCTCTGTTTCTCTCTTCACAAATGTGCCAGACCTGCTTAGTTTCTCCAACACCCTGTGTTTGCAACATTTGCTACTGCTGACTGCATCCAAAAAAATCAGTTAGCTAACTTTCACCTCAGGTTAAAATCTCACACCTCAAAAACATCCAAAGAACTCTAATCTGTACGTTTTTTTAAAATTTCCCTTTGTACTGTATACTATTAAACGCATTAAATTTTCATCGGACAATTCCTCTTGGTGAGACGGAGGCAATTCCCACACCTCAGTTTTATTAAAGTCAACATGTCTTGCCATATTGATGATCTGCAAGTGAACTTTGGGAACACTGTCCTGAGACTCTCCTTGATCACTGACACATTCACGCCATGCTTTCTGCCACACACTAATCAAACGCAATGACGTACTTTCATTCCATTAATATGAAATGATACTTCTGCAGACACTCCAAAAATCCAAGACACATTCATATCATCTGCAGCATTGATGAGCTGGGAGGAGGTGCAGTAGTTTGCCTTGAATGTTATTACTTCCTGATCTATGTGCCAAAGCAATTAAGTCATCTTAGGTGGCAGGGAAATCACATTTACATTTGCCGACGTGATCAAGATTGATATGATGACCCTGGCATCATCTAGTCTAAGAAATAATGATATTTTCATAATAATATAAAAATTAATGGCTTAAATATTCCATCCAAGCAGGAATTGCATACAGAGAGATCCATTCTTGAGTTCCAACACCAGCCAGGCTTTCTTATGAAAACACCGAATGATATGCAGATGTTCCTTGGTGTAGCCTCTCAAACCCCTTGGTGTCTCTAACTTGGTAAAGTCTGAAACCTCCTGTAGTATTCTTACCAGCAGAACAGTCAGGAAGTTTTTGGCAGGTTTAAGTCTGATACTATCTTCACCTCTTTGGAGATGTTTATTCTGTATGGCACTGGTTTCGGTCTTGAAACCAGACTGTCAAGTGTCTTTCCACATTCTCCATGATCTCTTTCTAGTCCAACTTACCCTCCCAGAATTTAAACGTACACACTATGAACACTTTGATTTTGTCTCAATTCCCATAATTATCCTCAATGTCACAGACAGTAGCACAAGTACTCTGCCAATAAGAACTGCTTATCCTCGTCTTTCTAAATGTTTTAAAACCTTCAATTTCATTGCTGTTTTCCTTTTTCACAGTAGACTCAATAGCATAATCTGTTGTGTGTTTTTGACAGGTTTAAAAGTGATTCAAAGGATCAAAGTGCCAAATTACATGCCTGAAACAATCTAAAATAATTTAAAAATTATGTCTCTGTTTCACCTTCAGCAAGTCTCTCTCTCTCTCTGTAGCTTCCAAAATACCTCACGTGCTGCAAAGATGAAGAACAGTCACACTTAGGACTCCATCAGAGTCAAGTTCCTAAGGTGCAAGAGCTGAACCCCGAGTTTTCTGTCCAAACAAGCTCTGAGACAAGGAAAGTGATTTTACATGGAGCAAATGCCACTCAGACTTTAAAATGGTGTATCTACCTTACCCACTATATAGTCCCCAGCAAGAACACTGGGGTGCCAAAATAAGATAGGAATACAGGGTTACTGGACTAAAAATGAGCAGTCCAGTCTTCAGCTCTTGTGGGAATGTATTACTGTCATACAAAACTGTGCTACATAAGTTTTTAAAAATGCTACTGCTTTGAAGGTGCTCCAACGCCTCTCCTTGCACTTGCTCCAAAATGGTGCCTGTCAGGCCATGTGACTCTCGGTGACACCTACTGCAAACTGATGTTAAATTGAAAATCTTGACACCAAACCCATATACTGGCACTATTAATTTCACAATAATGAAATGGAACTGCTTAAAACTGGGCAACCTAAAGTGCCTACTGTAGTGGACTATTCTTCCCAGTCGAATGGATTTTTAGCAAGTGTCTTTCAACTATTTAGCCTGTGGAGTGAATTATCCAAAACTACTGTGAAAATATATTGCACTAGGATATTGTCACCATGCATGTGACATTTCAAAGCTTCTGCTAGAAGTTACTGCATTAAAGGAGATGTGGCATGAATGGTTTGATGAGAAAGCAGCGTAAAGAAAGAAATGAAATATTACTCCTGAGGGTAACCTCCCTATCTACTCAAGGAGCCTCAGGGTCAGAAGTCCAAACCAATCAGAGATCCTCATCGGGTGCAATCCCAGCACGGAGGTTGAGTTCACTAAACTATGCAATTTTAGATGTGCTAAAGTTCAATGGTATAATACTCCTGCCCTAATTAAAAATAGCACATTACTAGCACACACAGAAGATCTCAGAACAACTTAAAACAACTGCCTCCAAATTGCTGGCGTCGCCACAGTGGGTAGCGTTCGGGTTCCTGAGCCTGTCCGCTCCGGGCCAGCACATACTTCTCTTTCTCACCTTTCTCGTCTCTATCTTTCTCTTTTTATCTTTTCTTCATCTTCTGTGGCGTGGCAATGCCCAGAGCGAGACTCCTGACCGTGACAGGCCTGGAGCGTGGACTCAGCATGTCATCATCTCTGGTGGTGGTGCCCGGTGTGGGTTGCTATGGCAGAGGCTGTGACTGGAGCAGGGACTCTTGGTTGTGGTAGGCCATGAGGCCCAGGACACCCTGCAGAAGCCCAGTAGCTCTGTTTGAAGACCCATTGTACCGAAGATGAACTCTACTTATGTAATTTATTTCTTGTAACTCAAAATGGCATCAGATTGTGGTGACAAAACACTTGTCACTGTATCTTTCTTGATATAGGTAACAATCAATAAATAAATCATAACTTTATCTACATGCTTCCTGACTATTACAATTCAGATGTTCAGAATAATTTCTGAAAGCAAGGGTTCCCAAATTGTGAGTTGTGATCCCCAGTGGGGTTGAGAAATTGAGGTCATGAGCTCCAAAGCATCAAGGGTGATTATGCAGCAGTGATTGAGATTTGATATTCTTGGTATCAGCTGACAGACCCCTTTAACTGTGAGAGATTTATTTTTGCTTGTGTCCTGTAATGAGGCGGGAAACCTCACAATCTTAAGAAGTATTTGGATGAGCACCTGAAACGTCATGAAATCAAGGTTTTAGGCCCAAGTGTTGGAAAGGGAGAGCTAATGTAGATTCAGAGCTGTTTTATTGGGCTAAAAGGCTTTCCTACACTGTATGATTCATTGTACTGTATAATTCTAAGATAACTCAATGAAGTCTGAAGAGATAGTAAGAACTGCCGATGCTGGAGTCTGGGATAACACAGTATGGTGCTGGAGGAACATAGCTGGCCTGTCCGTCTTCTCTCCCACTTATCCGCTCCTCCCAGCTCACTGACCAACCCCCACCATTGCCTATCTGCACTCACCTATCACCAACCCATCTATCTTCCCCACCCTTCCTCTCTCTATTTATTTCTGAGCTCTCTTCCATCTCCCCATTTCTGAAGGGTCCTGACCCAAAACGTCAGTTTTCTTGTTCCTCTGATGCTGCCTGGCCTGCTGTGTTCCTCCAGCTCCACACTGTGTTATCAATGAAGTCTGAAGCCCAATTACTAACACCATTACAGCCTGAAAATAGCAGATGTAAAATAGTAGATTTTTCTGCTTGCATGCGTGATGTTTTAACCGTCAACCAGTTCAGTGACTTGTCCCTTACCAGCATCTGGGTAACACCAACAGTGGAACACTAAAATGCATTACAGCAGAACAAAGGTTTGAGAAGTACTGCCCTAAGGCAAATTCCTATATGGCACTTCAGAAGAAAGTTTAAAAAACCAAATACAGGCAAACTTTCTTACAGACAAATGTATCCGAGGAGAACTGGCAATCTTATAGATACAGTTTATCTGCCAGTAAGTGCTGATTAAATTTACAAATAATTCAGAAATTATAATTTCATAACTATTATTACTCTGTGCACTCCATCATGGATGAGTATATTAAACAGTGGGCCACACTTTTATTCTGTATTACAATATTTCTTCGCCACTTCCCAGCTATTAAATTTAATTTCTTCCAACCAATAATAAAAACAAATATATTCTCAACAAGGCAATTGAGAAAATTGTAAGACCTTTCGTGATGAACATAAAGAGGAACAGGGAAATGATACATTGTGTACAAATAAACATTACTGATCACACCTGTATCCGGCAGGTTGTGTACGCATGCAAAAGCAGACCTGACAAATTTCCAGACTAGACCACAGAAGCCTCTCTCACTTATCTTACTTCTGCCATGACATCTGTTTAATTCTGCAAGCAGATGTCAGACAGCTTCCAGAGAACCTTGTTTTAATTTGATTGCTTTTCATAAACTTCTATTGGAATACTCGTAAATCAGTTTTTACAGATCAAAGCGCTTTATAGCCTATTTTGATTTTGAGCACAGATCATAAAAAAAATGACATTTAAGACTTGTTTCAACTGGTCTACTCCCAGTGGATACATAAAACTGGAAGTAGCACAATAATTGAAACATAATAATTTCAACATATACAGGCTTCATCGGCAGGCCAGATGGTTTCAAAACTAACAGAGAACAGTGCTAAAAAAGAAAGATTCAGGGAAGCTTGTGAATAGAATTGTTAGTTGTGAAGTACAAGTCTTCTATAATGACTGCAAATTAACATTGACAAATATAAATGACTAATTTTAACTATTATTTACCACTTATTTCATCATACATTTTTAGGAGGAACAAACCAAGTAAATCTGCCCCTACATCAGTAACCTAAACACATACCAAATTCCAGCAATTAAGAGTATAGCTTTCAATTAATTGAATGCACTGATTGGTTCCTATGATGCACAAACACAGAAATAATAGTTACAGAAGCCAGAGAATTAATATTTCTTTTAGTTCAACAACAAATAGCAAGGGAATTAAGAGTCCTTTAAATATTAGGTCAAGCTTATGGATGTTAGACAAATTAATTATAACTGCTAGCTAGACATAAAATATGCAGTTTGCTACTAATACAGAGTACTAATTTATTGTTAGTACTAGTAATAATAATCAATCACAAAATTAAAGCTAAATTTTTTAGATGTTAAGTAAAGAAGACATTATGTGTGGTAACTACATGAGTTACAGCTGGGTGGTTGCAATTGACAGGCAGTACAGTTCAAGATTAGCACACTCTGGAAAAAATGGAAACACAGTCCTCTCATGACCACCAGATGTCTCAAACAGCATTACAGTAAACAAAGTACTTTTTGAAATGCATGATTATCACCTGTGAATTTGTGCAAAGAACTGCCCACAAGCAGCAATGAAATAAGGACTAGATCATTTGTTTTTGCAATGTAGTTTGAAGGATAAATACTGGTCAGGACACTGGGAGGAACTCCACTCCTCTTCTTCGAAATAGGAATAGAGCCATATAATCTTTAATACCCACTGAAGCAGATATTTGGGCTTAGTTTAGTAGCGTCCAAAAGACAGGACCTCTGACAGCACAGCACTCCCTCAGCATTGCACTGAAGCATCTGCTTTGATTTCTATGCTCACACTCTGCAGTGCAAGTTGAACGTGGAACCGTGCAATTCTGAAACAAGAGTGCTACCAACTTAACCACAGAACAAACTTGCAGTCAGTTGGGTTGGGGAGCGGAGTTAAATAACATGGATTCCCACAGGTGAAATGGTGGGTCACATTGAAGAATCGAAAAGGAAAAGTGACGCTGTACAGAAAAGTATCTAAGCTGGCAGAATAGAGCGCGTGATGCAGAGATTTAGTGGCATCCATAGATAATTAGTGATGACAACTGACTGAAAAATTAATTAGTGCAATGCTTCATGTCAAAATAGATTGTAAATTTTACCAAGAATGTGTCCAGAAAGTATAATTGCTATTCATTCTATTCAGTATATGTGAATGTGGCTTATGCAAAGAATTTCTGAGGTAAGAGTACTGTGATGGAAACAAAATGTGTTCTAAAAGACATTAATTTTGACATGTGCTACATTTGATTGTTCCAGTTCAACTCATAACATATCTATGGCACCTTACTGGTGACGGAACTCTTTCAAACCACTCAATAAATTATGCCTTTGATAAATGCACTTTTTTTAAGCAGTGATCAGACTTCCTTTTACTTGGTGCTTTATGAAGATCATGAAGATCCACATTTTTTTCAACAGCAACCAGGGATGGTCAATCAGACATGGCGCACAGTGATTCATATAGGACTGGCCTTGTATTCCTGAGGCCTGGATTAATGGTTAAAAGGTATGAGTTCAAACCCCATCACAGCAACTGGGAACTTTGAATTCAGGTAATTAAAAGATTAATACAAAATTAAAAGTTAATACAGGGCCATTGTGGTGCAGTGATAGTGTCCCTATCACTAAGCTAGGAGGCCTGGTTCCAAGTCGCACCTGCTCCAGCGTGCACCTGGTGTGTAATAACAACTCTGAACAGAGCAATTAGAAACTATCTGAAAATCTTGTATGGTTACCATGCAACTTTTGACTGTCAGTAAATCAATCGAGTTCATTAATGTGTGAGCAAGCCATTCAGTTATAATCAACCCTCAACAACAAAGTATAATAAAGTATAATAAAACCACCCATCATCAATCTAGGTGTGGATTTCGACACAAGGATCTAGCATAGTCGATCCAGTATTCTCCTCATTAATTGTTTCACAATTGGGAAAATTATCTCACAGATCTTCCAAGCAACCAGCTAACACACTCATGTTCATAATTGTTTGGTAGTACAGAACTTGAGTATTGCTAGAATAAGACACATTTTGTCAAAGCTTTTTGTCTTGCACATACCAGGATAATTCAC